CAAACCCAGTGTGAGAATCAAGGAACATTCATACTACAAGTGATGTAATGTGCTTTGATTCTCGGTCACCGAGGCCTTTGACTCCGACTTGATAAGGCTTTGGTTCTCATTTTGTTTGTTGCATGCATCTTTACATCAAGTGGCAAATTTGATCCCTTGGGCTATCATGCACCATTGATGGCTCGAGGATCGAAGGTCATGCTTCCTTGAGTTCAAAGCATGATAGGAAGCATGACCATGCTCACATGTGCCTGAAAACCCCATGCCATGCACTGTCTGTTCCCTGTTTGCTGTCAAAGCTGTCTTCTGCAGGAAGTTTCTGCCGACCGGCAGAATTAAGTGCCGACCGACAATATTTGAATGGCCGGTAAATCAAATAATGCCGATGGAAATCCTGGACTGCCGGTGGGAATTCTGCCTGGCCGGTGGTGCTCTGCAACATGCAAAGAACCTGTTCTGGAGTTTTGGCGATTTTGAGAGGGATAGGGCAGTACAAGCAGAGGTGGCAGGGGTACGGTACGGGTTTTTCGGGCGAGCCGAGTTCCGAGCATGCATCATTTGCGCCTCCCGAGGCAGAGGCTGCGGCCACCCTCTTCTTTCTTTTGCATCCTTTCTTTTAATTAATTAGAAATTCTGTAATAATTTTATTTGCTTATTATTTGGGACTGTAATATTTATTTGTACCCTCCGAGTGAGGGTAATTATGTAATAAGTGTGCGTGAGTGTGTGTATGTCTTCCAACCTCACGTCTTTCTTCCCTTTTATTTGCCTGCTTATGATGGTAGATTAGGGCACGTTTAATTTAGCATACCTCATGCTATGCATGCGTGCATCCATGCATTTGTATTGCATGCATTAGGCTCGGTACATCACGCTAACTGCATTCGTATTTCAAATTCCAAATCGAATATGTGAATCGATTGGTTGCATCTCATATGCCATATTTAGGTTAACCGAGCCTACTTTAATTACATTTTTGCCTGTGATGCATTAGCCATTTTTAACATGAACTAGGACATGCATGTTTGCTAACTAGTTTACTGTTTTGGCACGGAGTACGATGTAAGTATTTACGCTTTAGCATCTCGCATGTGTGTGAATGTTAACATGACAGTATGCTTGCCATGCGGCTAGTTGCTTACATGATATTACTGCTTGAATGCCTGTGGATGGAGGTCGAATTGCTTAAATTGGGATAACACATTAAAACTGTGAATTTTAAAACCCACTAGATAGTGGCAAAACCATCTTTTCTAAAAGCCCACTTGAGGGTGGCAAAACCTGCATTTTAGCCTACTTGCGAGTAGCAAACCATTTTCAAAACAAACATGAAATGTTTTGTTCCAATTTAGGCGATTTGGTCTATACTTGTTTGCTGTACGCATAACATAGTAATTCTAGGCTAATAATCGGAATAAGAATACATAAACGTTTTCAAAACAGAATATCACGGTTAGTAGAGGCCGGTTTTCGGACGGGCGAAAGGGGGTGCTCATAGTTGACCTTCCATAACCG